GAAAACACCTATTTATGACACATCATGATTGTAAACACAGCAATAATTATAATTTCTAACTTCACTAAGCAAACATGTCATAGGTGCAACAGCAGTTTTGATTTCAATAAAATAATCGAAGGACTCAAAAAGTTTATTCTGTGCCTGTAACATTAATATTAATAATCAATAGGGAATTTCAGTTGGCATACTCTTGTATTCTTTCTGGTAATTCTTTGTAAAAGTGTAAAACAGCTACTCAGAACATCCTCATGACACTGAGATTGATCTAAAATTCCATATCCAAGCACAAATTCCATTAAGACATTAAAAAGCCCTAAATATAATCCATTAAATGTTAGTCTAGTTCAGTGTTGTGCATCACTTTCTACTTACCACAACTGTATGCTACTCCTTGATTACTAGAGTCAGGTTTAGACTCATTGTTAGAAGAAATAAAACAATTTAAGAGTTCATCTAACTTATTTAACAATTTTCGCTTATCCTGGATTTGGTTTCTCAACATTTGTTTGAGAAGTTGATCAGAATCTGTCATAGACGATAATTTCTTCATCTCTTTATGAATTTTTTGATTTGTATAAGGAGTAGTAAAATAAGCATCCTTAGCTTTAGAGAGCAGTATATGTTCAACTTCAAAAATTTCAAAAAGAATATTTGCACTCAGCAAGCAAACATCACTGTCATCATAACTGATAAGGTCCAACAGAATATGCTGGGACAATTCTTGACAGTTTGTAGATTCAATATCAAATACAGAGTAAACTTGGCTTCCAAAATTATATCTTAACCTGGCAAGTGATTCTTTGCACAGTCTGATGCATTAAAATATATCATTTTCATTCTACAAAAATTGCATGTACTTTTCAGAAGGACTACATTCCTTTTCATTAAAAAGTACATCCATGCTTAATGGCGGTTGAGTAAATTCTGACTCTTCCTTAGACCGTATTGCAATCTCTTCCAATTCAATTCCATCATCAGTGTCTGGCCTAATTTCTTCTTCATTTGAATGAAGCTTTTTAACCTTTTCTCTTATGTGAATGAAGTCATACAAAAGAGCCTACAAAAAATAAAGGAAGTGTTTGTACACAATGAACTATACCTTAACGGATGAATGAAAATGCTGCTGGAGAAGTAAGTTTAGTGACTGCAGTGCTCTAGTTGTAATTACAGTAATAATTAACCAACATGCATGACAACATACAAGAACTTAATTTTGAAAATAATTTTATTACCAGGAGTGTCATTACTACACCTTTCAGTATTTTCCAAAATCTTTCCTGTAAAAATTTTGATTATCATAATAATAGGTTGTAGACTCACCCAAAGAATCTACATCACTTCTACCATTAATAATACTTATTAAAATATTAATAATCTTTAGCACTTCATCATCAGTATTGTAAGCTCCATAGCCAACAAGAAATACCAAAATACCAAGTACTTGTGCTATAATAGAATTTCTTCCTTTGTAGTCATCCCCAGTATACAGTACATGCATCTTTAGAAAAAAATGATCATTAAGCAAAATTGATTATCCTACTTCATTTGTAGACAAAAATTGATGCAAGGAGCTTTTCATGGAGGATATTAAATTTTTCTGATCATCATCAATAATAAATTCGAATTTTTCATTTGGGTTTACTAATAATTCATCGTAATTCTAAGGAAAAATGTGTAATATTACAATCTTATATAATTTACATAAGTGAATGATCTTCTATTAATATTGATGCCAAATTTTTCTAAGTAACTGCCAACTGCTTCTACAAATCCATTAAGTACTTCTCGTACATTAGGATTGGTTTGATGGTTATGAACCTGTCAAAAAAACAACATAAATTATAATAAACATACAATTTATCACTACTTACTGTTCCGGCTGCAAGTGTTCTTTCATAAATTTTACCTAAAAATTTTGTGACTACTGTAATAATGTTATTAGACTAACTTTGAATCTCATAGTTGAATTTTCTTCCACTAAATGCCAATGCAGTCATTAATTCAGCAACCTCAGAATCCTGAAACAAATCTAAAAATACTTACAAAATATGTATTAGGAACCTCTGTATTCAATTTCTCAATAAATGAATTAATGTTCTTCTGCAATAGGTCACCTATTTCCCTATCAACAGAATAAAACTATATTTACAACAACTAAGGATACAAAAATTAGTATTACACATCATCTTT